TTGGGAAGGCGGGGGTAGACAGGCCCACCATGGAAGAGGGGAGTTGTCTGTCCCTCAAAGCACTGGTGCCCAGATGCTTAGACTGAAAGTCCTCCATGCCCAGCCAGTGGCTGACCTTGAGGAGGTGGTGTCACCCTACAGGTTCAGAGGAAGGACATATGTGTTGTGTCAGCATGACAGGACCTGAGGGTAACCTGGACACAGGGAACCTGGCAGGTAGAAGGATATGGCATGGTGGTGAGTGCCTGGACCCCTACCAGCCTGGCTGGGTTCTGATCCTGGCTTTGCTGCTTGCTGGCTCTGAGACCTCGGAGGCTCCTTGAACTTTAGTTTCCTGGTCCCTAGGTGGGGTAATAATCATGCCAATCTCAGAATGTGCCAGGAGGACTAAGTGAACGAACCCTGCCTTGCCTAAGAAGGCAACTGCTAATCACCTATGGCAGTTTGCTGGGAGTGCCATAACAAAGTACCCCAGACTGAATGGCTTACACCACAAAATGTATTCTTTCACAGTTCTGGACACAGGAAGTCCAAGATCAAAGTATTGGCAAGCTTGGTTCCTTCTATGCGAGGAGAATCTGTTCCCTGTCTCTCCTCTGGCTTCTGATGGGTTACTGACAATCTCTGGCATTTCTTCCCTTGTGGAAGCATCACCTTAATCTCTGTCTTCGCCCTCACATGGTACTCTCCCCGTGGGCATGTCTGTATCCAGATGTCCCCTCTTCATAAGGACACCGGTCACTTTGAATAGGGGCCCACCCTTCTCCAGTAAGACTTCATCTGAACTAATTACATCTGTGATGACCCTGTTTCCAAGCAAGACCACATTCTGAGATATTGGGGATTAGGGCTTCAACATATGAATTTGGGAGGGGACACGATTCAACCCAAGATACCACATGTGGCTCATCAAGCATTTGAAATGTGGCTAGTCGGCATTGAAATGAAAGGCCACATACTAAGCTGAAATACTAAATCACACTGGGTTTCAAAGACTTAGTACAGGGGCGCCTGGGTGGCTCAGTTGGTTGAGCATCTGCCTTCAGCTCAGGTCATGATCCCAGGGTCCTGGGATCGAGTCCCCCATCGGGCTTCTTGCTCGGTGGGGAGCCTGCTTCTCCCTCTGCCTGCCACTCCCCCTGCTTGCGTTCTTTCTCTCTCTCTCTCTCTCTCTGACAAATAAATAAAATCTTAAAAAAAAAGATTTAGTACAAAAAAGGAATGCAATATATCTCACTATTAATTTTTAACGAGATAATTAATTTATCTCATTTATTAATCATATCAATTATGTGTCAAGATGATAACATTTTGGATACCCTGTGCTAAATAAAGCATAATCAGAATTAGGCTTTTTAAAATGTGACTGGTAGAGAATTTAGAGTTACCTATGTGGCTTCCATTATCTCTTGGACAGGACTGAACTAATATTTACAAAGCCCTCAGAACAGGGCCTGGCCCATGGAAAATACCAGTAAGCACTTGATAAACAAAGCCTTCTCTTTGGAGGTGACTCATTACCTGTGGCATTTTATTTTATTTTATTTTATTTTATTTTTTATTTTTTTTAAGAGTTTTATTTATTTACTCATGAGAGACACAGAGAGAGAGAGGCAGAGGGAGAAGCAGGCTCCCAAGGAGCAGGGAGCCCGATGCGGGACTCGATCCTAGGACCGTGGGATCATGACCTGAGCCAAAGGCAGATGCCCAACCATCTGAGCCACCCAGGCAGCCATTACCTGTGGCATTTTAAAAATATGACTTCTCCCTCTTCTCAGAGACTGGGAAATTTGGGAGCACATTTCTTGCCTGGCCCTTCTTTTATTGTGTGGATTTTGTTTCATAGTCTGGAAGCATATGGCATATATAATGTGGTCTCGTCTTTTCCAAATTGTTCCATGGCATTTTTTCTGTGTGATTATAAACTCTTCATCAACCACATTAAGCACTGTGGTTTCCTGAAAAATTGTTTCCAATTTTCCTATTAACAATGCACGCCCCAACTTTAAGCTGAAAATCTTTTCTGTTATTTAGGATTTAAAAAAAAAAGATTTATTTACTTTAGAGAGAGAGAGCCCCAGGGGGGAGGGGCAGAGGGAGAGGGAGAGGAAGTTCCAAGCAGATTCTGAGCTACGCAGGGAGCCCAACGTGGGGCTCAATCTTGTGACCTTGAGATCATGACCTGAGCTGAAACCAAGAGTCAGTCACTTAACAGACTGAGCCTCCCAGGCGCCCCTGTTAGCATTTTTATTGGACAAAGTGGTAAAGTATTGAAGGATCCTAATGCATATTGTCAGGTAGTTTCCGAGAAAAGCTGAATCACTTTCCAGTCCTGCCAGCAATGTATAAATGTCTCCATTTCACCAACTTCTGCCTTTATTATCATATTATTAAAAAAGTTGTGTGTGAAAAAAAGTTGTGGGTGTATGTGCGTGTATGCACATTTGTGTGTGTGCCTGTTATTTGGTTTGTTCTGTTTCTGTTTTGTTGCTGATTTGGCCGAGGGCTGGGGGGAAGGTATCTCACTGATTGTATACCCATTTCTTTGATGACCTGGAGGTTGAGCATTTATCCACTAGATTATTTCCCCTGTGCATTTCCTCTTCTGATAATTAGTGTTTTGAGTCCTTTGTCCATTTTTTAGTGCTTTAGTATTTTTCTCCTTAATTTACATGCATTCTTTATAAAGATATCAATTTTGTACATTTTATTTTTTACAAATTCACAGTAGCAACTGCTGACTTAATTGTGTGTCTTGTTTCACACATTTTTGTATTTTTAGGTAGTCAAATCAATTGATTGCCCCCTTTGTGATTTCTGTCATTGCTTTCAAGCAAAGACATGCCCTTCCAGAGACATGGTGAGTGTCAGTTTCACTTTCTTTTAGCTTTTTAAACTTTTTTTGGATTTTAAATCCCTCTAGGACAGTGCTGTCCAAATGAAATGCAATGCAAGGCACAAATGCGAGTCACATACGTCATTTAAAATTTTCTGGTAGCCACATTTTTAAGAAGTAAAAAGACTAGAGCACAGAGGATTTTTAGTGAAAATAGTAGAACTATTCTGTATGATACCATAGTGGTGAATATATGTCACACTATGTATTCGTCCAGACCCTTAGAATGTACCACCAGAAGTGAACCCTAATGTAAACTATGGACTTTGGGTGATAATGACGTGTCAGTGTAGGTTCATCAACTGCAACCAATGTCCCACTCTGGTGGAGGATGTCCATAGTGGGGGAGGCTGTGTGTGTGGTGGGAGGAACACGGTGTATTAGACCTCTCTATACTTTCCGCTCAATTTTGCTGTGAATCTAAAACTGCCCTAGAAAATAAGCTTATTCATTTAAAAAAATTCTAAAAGAGGGGCGCCTGGGTGGCTCAGGTCATGATCCCAAGGTCCTGGGATCGAGCCCAGCATTGGGCTCCCTGCTCAGCAGGAAGCTGGCTTCTCCCTCTCCTTCCACCTGCCGCTCTGCCTGCTTGCTCTCTCTAGCTCTCTGTCAAATAAATAAATAAAATCTTTAAAAAAAATTTCTAAAAGTATGAAAAAGTAAAAAAGAAACAGACAAAATCGATTTTAATAATATATCTTATTTATTCTAACATTATTCAAAACAATTATTGCAACATGTCCTCAGTATAAGAAATTAATTACTGAAATATTTCATTTGGAGGAATTACGTCTTCGAGATTTGGCATGTATCTCTCCATGAGTGCTAGTGACAAGCCACAGTCCCAATACTCAACAGCCACATGCGGTTCATGGCCACCAGATGGGTCTGCACAGGTCTGGAATTTGGTTCAACCCAGAGGGAGGGGCAGAGGGGGAAATGTTCTGATGGCCCGATTTATCTCCCCCTTCACCTTCACCTCCCACCTGCTCCTCTCTTGAAAATTCCTGCCCAGGGCGCCTGGGTGGCTCAGATGGTTAAGCATCTGCCTTCGGCTCAGGTCATGATCCCAGGGTCCTGGGATCGAGTCCCGCATCGGGCTCCCTGCTCGGCGGAGAGCCTGCTTCTCCCTCTGCCTCTCTCTCTCTCTCTGTCTCTTATGAATAAATAAAATCTTAAAAAAAAGAAAAGAAAAAAATTCCTGCCCAGCCAACCTGTTTTCTCACCTTTCTCAGTGACCCCTGCCTGGTTCCCGGATGCCATCCTGGCCACCTGTGTCAGCCGCCCACCACCCGTGGCCTCCTGACCCTTCCACCACCCCACCCGGGGCTTCCAGCTACTATTGCCACCTCCCATTCCCCTGCCTTCTGGCTGTAGCTCTACCCAGGGGCTCACCGGGGGGGGGGGGGGGGGTCCAGCCCAGAATTTCCACCTCTGTAGCTCTCTGCTCTGGTGAAAGTATCAATAATAATAGTAATTATGAAATAATATTCCTAACATTACACACTGACTGGGTGTGGCATGCCAGGCTAACCCTTGGTGGATCATCTTATCTAATCCTCCTGACCGTCTTGGGGCTGGAACCATTTTGCACATAAAGGCTTCTCTCAGCTAGCGAGCACAGATAGTGCGCAGCCTGTGGTCAAGGCCAGGGGACAGAGGTTGGGGCCCTTTGGGCAGAAACTCCTGGGGATCACCTAGAGGGTTGAGCCCGCTTTATGAAAAGTTCGTCCATTTTGCTGGGAAAGAGGATCTAGGCGTGTTCCCTAGAACTTGCCCACACCTCCTTTATGCTCCCCCCTTCCCCTAACATGCAGGAACCTGTAGGAGCCCCTGGGATGAGGATGCCTGGAGGTAGCAACGCCCGCTGCCCTCCCCTCGAGTCCGTGCTCTGGGACCCCTCCGGAGCGGGTCGCCTCCCTGCCCCGCGTAGGGTGTCTCCTGGCCACCGCCCGCAAAGCACCGCGAGGGGAGGCAAGAACCCTGCGCGGCGGGGCCAACATCTGCTCGCCAGATAAAACCAGGCGGCGGCTGCGAGGCCAGGAGGCGGGCGGGCAGACTCCTGGCACATCTGCGCCCCGCGACCCCTGCGCCCGCGGGCACCATGAGCGGCCGAGTCGGGGACTTGAGCCCCCAGCAGCAGGAGGCGCTGGCCAGGGTGAGGGGCTTCAAGGGTGGGGGCAAGGTGGGGGAGGCTTGGGGAGGGAAGGAGCTGCCTGATGCTGCCCACCCGGGCTGAAGCCCCCATTGTTTGGATGGAAAAGAGACCCTTGAGGGTGTCTCTATCCAGCTTGCCCGCCACTGGGCACAGTGGCTGAGGCAGACATACACGGGACACAGGACTTGAGCCTTTCTCTGGGCTACACTGGGGCGGGATCCAGCTTTCCGATCCTGCTCTCTCCGGACCACAGAGCCCTAGCCCTTGTCCCCTGGTTGTGGGGGTAGGGTGATGCTGCCATCCCTCTGGGCAGCCTTGGGCAGACAGACTAGCAGGTCTCCTGCTCTGATTGCAACATTTGTTTGTTTGGCTTCTCTTTGTGGTTTTCAGACTCCCCAGGGCCCAAGCCTTCTCCCTGTTGTCAATGTTTCCGTTAAAGGGGACTGGGGGGGGGCGGTTGGTGATGTCAAGACAGTCCTTCAGGCTGCAGCTGAGAGTGTCATGCCCTGGGGAAGGGGGGGCATATTCAGGTCTTAGGGGCCACGAAATTAATTTGATTTGGAGATGGCAGGGCCTAGAAACTGTGACTTCAGGTTAGGGGAGGGAGGTGACGGCCCTGGCTCACACTTTGGGCTTCAGACTTGTGGAGAATGGCTCCTACCCTGGGGAGGATCCTCCAGGGAGGAATGAGGACCCCTGATGAAGGAGGGGGACCCTGGATGAATTCTTAGTGAAGGAGAGAAGGGTCCCAAGTGAAGAATGGGGGGCCCTGGGTGAATTCCCAGGTATAGGAAGAGGTTCCAGGAGTAGAGGGTCCTGAGCTGAAGGAGGGGTCGCCAAGTGAAGGAGGAGAGGGAGTCCCCTGCTTAGCTCTCTCTCTCCCCACTGGCAAAGACCTCAGGGGAGCCCCCGACACTAGGCTCATGGGAGGGACTAGACACCCGGCCTTTGGGGGTCAATTATGATGGAGATGCTTGTGGGTCAAAGAGCTTTAAACAATGTAAAAAGAGTTTATTCTTATTTTTTCTGTTATTTAAAAGAAATGAACGTTAGTTGTTTTAAAAATTAGGGAGAAAAAGAAAAGTAGGAAAAAGAAGCCACCCATGGTCCCAGAGATCTAGACAACCACGCCTAGAAGCATTTCCTTCTAGGTTTTTCCTAAGTCTAGTTTCGACCACCTGTGGTCATGCAGCCAGAGGCTGCTTTCTCTATATGGCATCATTGGTTTTTTTTTTTTTTAAGATTTTATTTATTTATTTATTTATTCATTTGAGACAGTGAGAATGAGAGAGAGAGAGAGAGAGAGAGAGCACATGAGAGGGGGAGGGTCAGAGGGAGAAGCAGACTCCCTGCTGAACAGGGAGCCCGATGCGGGACTCGATCCCAGGACTCCAGGATCCCAACCCGAGCCGAAGGCAGCCGCTTAACCAACTGAGCCACCCAGGCGCCCCTATATGGCATCATTGTTAAGTTAGCTTTTCCTTCAAGTTATTCCAGGCCCTTCTCAGACGTGAAGCTCCATCCCAGGTCCCTGAGATCATGACCTGAGCCAAAGGCATACACTCAACCGACCGAGACACCCAGGCCCCTGAACACATTCTTATTTTAAACATCATCTGTAAAGCTAAAGGAGGTTTGGTGGATGGCTGTTAAGATAGCTTCCTATGGCTTTGCTAGCATTGGTTTCTAATCCTAAAGTCCCAATCACAGGTTCCCCTGCAAACCCACCCCTCCAGAGCTTACCTTCAGCTCCCTTAGTCCCCGGGATGAGGAAACTGAGGCCGAGAGTGGTTAAGCAACTTGCTTCCAAATCTAGACCTTCAAGATACAGTATCAAGGGCGAGGTTCCTAAATTGTTCTCGTTTGCCTGCATCCGATTCACCAGGGATCTTTGTCAAAATAGGGAAGGCAGGGCCCCGCCTCAGACCTATAGAATGAGGATCTTGGGGAGGCAGAGAACCCCCAAAGTTTGAGAAGGACCCAACTCTTCTTGCCATGGTGGGCTGAGGGGTGCTCCATTCCCACGCTGCAAAAAGGTCGAGGCAGCCGCTGCTCTCTCTGTGGTCCCTAGCCTGCAGAGTCCCTGGGCAGGACTGATTGACAGACTGAGTTTGGGAAGAGTCGGGGTGGGCTTGGGAGCCCAGGGGTCATGGGAGCCCCTCTGACCTTTGTATCTCCCCCTCAGTTCTGGGACAACCTCCAGGACCTGCTGCCTGCCCTGCCCAATGCTGATGAGTACTTCCTCCTGCGCTGCCTCTGAGGTGAGACTGGCGGTGTCGAGGGTGCCAAGAGGGAGAGAGGGAAGGAGGGTTTCAGGAAAGTGGGTGGGACTTCGGGAGAAAATACTATAGAGTGGGAAACATAGGCTCTGGAATCACCCTGCTTTGGGTTAGAATCTGAACTCCCCTCCAAATTAGCATGGCACCAAACCCCATTGAGCCTCAATTTCTTCATCTGTAAAGTGGGATGGGGCCACCTCCCCAAGGATTGCTATGAGCATTAGAGAGGGTGTACACTTGGCACTGGGTGGGCGTATGGTAGAGGTGAACTTCACACCTGGGAAGTTCTCAGGATGACTGGCCTGGCTGGGCCTTGAGTCAGATAGCCCCAGATATACTCTTCAGGACTTGCCTATGGGTCTATTTCCAGTTCCTTGAAAGCAGGGCTGTGTCATCCCCTGAGGGAAGCTGGCCACCTAGCAGGTGCCCAGCAAACACTTCAGGAAGTGGATGCAATTAAAGGTAGAGAAGGAACTTCTTCCAGGGATTGTCACAGGAGTGTAAAATTAGAATAACAGAAACCTAGGGGGAGAATTCATTCCAATTCAACACACCCCATGGAAAGGATTTTGAACTTGAACCAAGAGAGAAGTCAGAAGCCAGGCTGGAAAGTGCACACGCAGTGGGGTGATAATGGCAGCCTTGGAATCTGGCAAGCCTGTGATGGAATCCCAGCTCTGCTGTGTGCTAGCAGCGTGCCTCTGGCAATCACCCATTGTCTCTCAGGCTCACTTTTCTCTTCTGGGTAATGGGGATAATACTGGTCCCCCCACCTTCAAGACGCTGTGAGTCTGACATGAGGTCATGGGCGTGCACAGCACCTACACAGAGGAAGCCCTCCCTTCTGTTCTGTTTGTTCTATTTGGTTACGTTTTTTAATTATTATTTTCTACAAACTTAATTTTTTAGAATGGCTTTAGATTTACAGAGCATTGTGAAGATAGGTACAGGAAGTCCACACATATCCCGCACCCAGTTTCCCCTATCATGAATATTTTTCATTCTTATGGTACATCTATTACAATTCATGAACCAACACTGATACGTGGTTATTAACTAAAATCCCCACTTTGTTTAGATCTCCTTAGTTTTTCTGTTCCAGGATCCCATCCAGGATGCCACATGACATTTAGTCATCATCTCCCTAGGCTCTCTTGGCTGTGGAAGCTTCTATTCTGTTTTCAACAAGTTATGTCCATGTCATTTTCCTGGGCTAAAGAAGGAGTGAGGACAGTAGATTTCTTGAAGCCCCTTGATACAGCATCAGACCTCACTCCTCCTTTGGAGTCTTTCTGGGTTGAAAAACCAACTTTTCAGGTCCCTGGTGTGTCGTTGAGAAAGGAGTGAAGTCACAGACACTGTAGGCTGCTGGGTCATGGGAAAGGAGAAGGATCTAAGGTTGGGAGAAGAGGGGACAGGGTGTCCTGATGCCTCCCACTTTCTGCTGAGGCAGACGGGCTGACATGGCCCCGTCCCCTTCAACTTTACCTCCCTAGCCACACTGCCTGCCTCACTAGCCCAACACCTGGGCAACAGGGAGGGAGGTCTCTGGGGCTGAACTTGGAGTCTCCCCGCTCAGGCCAGATGCAGAGGGGGCCCCCCTGACCTCAAGTCACTTCATTTTGTTTTCTTTATCTCCATCTCACGATTGTGTCCATCTCTCCCACTCGGATGCCGGCTCCATGCCAGCAGTGTCCGTGCCTGCCCCATACTTCCAGCCGGGCACATAGTAGGTGCTACTAAAAAAACTATGAGGGTCCATCAACAGTGCCCAAACCACTTTCTATAGAACAAGAAACCAACCTGGTTCTCAGTAGGAAATCTCCTAGACATCACAGAGATTTTTTTAGAAACCAATAAAAGAACATTATAGACAATTATGCACAAATTTGAAAATCTCAATGAAATCAGTGCATTCCTTATAACACACATATAAGGCCAAAATCCAGCAAGAAGAAAATAGAAAGCCCCAAGAGACCAATAAATATTAAAGGCATATAAATGGTACTAAAAAGCTTCCCTCCTTCCAAAACTCAAACTCCAATGGCTTTACAGACGAATTTTCCCAAAGTTTTAAGATTAGCTGATACCTGCTTTTACACATTGTTGTAGTTGCTTTAAAATATATTTAAAAAGTGAAAGTTACTTTATGAGGCTTGGGTTGGTTTGATTCCAAAATGAGATCAGGACATAAAAGAAAATTCTGGGCTTGTTTCACTTGTCAATGTAGATGTAAGGAAGTCTAAGGGAAACATTACATAATAGAATCCAATAAGGTATTAAAATTACACAGCACGATCAGCGGGAGTTTATCTTAGGTATGCAGGAAGAATTCAACATCAGACAATCTATCAGTGTCATTGAACACATTAATAGAATTAAAAATGAGAAATTAGGTGGCTATCTCAATGCAGGAAAAGCATTTGAAAAGGCTCAAATCCTATTCATAAGATAAAAACAAAATAAAAGGGGCGCCTGGGTGGCTCAGTCATTAAGCGTCTGTCTTCGGCTTGGGTCATGATCCCAGGGTCCTGGGATCGAGCCCTGTATCAAGGCCCGCATCGGGGTCCCTGCTCTGAGGGAAGCCTGCTTCTCCCTCTCCCACCCCGCCCCCTGCTTGTGTTCCCTCTCTCGCTGTGTCTCTCTCTGTCAAATAAATAAATAAAATCTTAAAAAAAAAAAAGTCTTACCAAACTAGAAATAGAAGGGGATTTCCTTGACTTGGCTTGGTAATGGTTATGCAACAAAGATCTTACAATATACGTTGCGAGTTAAGAAGAAGTTTTAGGGGGCACCTGGGTGGCTCAGTCACCTAAGTACCTGCCTTCGGCTCAGGTCATGATCTCAGGGTCCTGAGATCAAGCCCCACATTGGGCTCCCTGCTCAGCGGGGAGCTTGCTTTTCCCTCTCCCTCTGCTGCTGCCCCTGCTCATGCTCTTTCTCTCAAATAAATAAATAAAATCTTAAAAAAAAAGAAGAAGAAGTTTTAGATGCATTTTCTTTAAAATCGGGAACAAGAAAAAGATGATGTTAAGCAACATCATAGTTTAAACAGAACTAGAGACCTTGCCAATATTGTAAGGAAAAAAAGTAATCTAGTCTATAAAGACTAGAAGGGGTTCATTTTTTTTCCTTTTTTATTGTTATGTTAATCACCATATATTACATCATTAGTTTTTGGTGCAGTGTTCCATGATTCATTGTTTGTTCATAACACCCAGTGCTCCATGCAGAACGTGCCCTCCTCAATACCTATCACCAGGATAACCCATCCCCCTCCCCGCCTCCCCTCCAGAACCCTCAGTTTGTTTTTCAGAGTCCATCATCTCTCATGGTTCGTCTCCCCCTCTGACATATTAGAAGGGGTTCATTTTTAAAATAAAGCATCACATTTTCAATTAAAGTGAATTTATTTCTTCAAAATAAGTAATCACAACAATAGTTAACCATTTACTGAGAAGTTCCTGGGAGCCAGGTAGTGTGTCAAGCACTTTATGTGCTTTATCTCATGTCATCCTTTGAATAACTGAAAAATATATTATTCCTATTTAACAGATTAAAAAACCAAGACTTAGAGAAGGTAGGTGAGTTGCTCAAAGTTGCACAGCAAATAAAAGGACAAAATTAGAATTTAAACCCAAGTCTGTTTGATTCCAAAGCCTATGCTCCTCACTACCCCTAACACCAAGAGGGTCTGTGCCCCCTTGGGGGCATCAAATATTACAGGCCAGATCAACCTCTGGAATGAAGAGTTTATTTATTTTTATTTTTTAAAAGATTTTATTTATTTATTTGACAGAGAGAGAGATAGCGAGAGAGGGAACACAAGCAGGGGGAGTGGGAGAGGGAGAAGCAGGCTTCCCGCAGGGCAGGGAGCCCGATGTGGGGCTCGATCCCAGAACCCCGAGTTAAGGCAGATGCTTAACGACTGAGCCACCCAGGCACCCCTGGAACGAACAGGTTAAAAAGGCTTGGATACTGAAATCAAGGGCTTCCAAAGTCTTCTAGAAGATTAAGGATACTTGCTTTTTAAAAAAATGTCCAGGGGCGCCTGGGTGGCTCAGTCGGTTGAGCGGCCAACTCTTGATTTTGGCTCAGGTCATGATCTCAGGGTCTTGAGATTGAGCCCCACGTGGGGCTCTGCACTCAGCAGGGAGTCGGCTTAGATTCTCTCTCTCTCACTCTCCCTCTGCCCCTCCCCTCTGTGCTCCCTCTCTCTTTTTCTCTCTCCAAAATAAATAAATAAATATTTCTTTTTAAAAATTTTTTCTAAAGATTTTATTTATCCATTTGAGACACAGAGATACAGAGAGAGAGAGAGAGAGAGAGTGCAAGCACGAGCAGGGAGAAAGGCAGAGGGAGAAGGAGAAGCAGACTCCCCGCTGAGCCAGGAGCCGGATGTGGGGCTCGATCCTAGGACCCTGGGATCATGACCTGAGCCAAAGGCAGACGCTTAACTATCTGAGCCACCCAGGCGCCCCAATAAATATTTCTTAAAAAGAAAAAATGAAATGACAAAGAAATGTCCAGACCCCCAATGTATTCTTGGGGCATCATGGAAGACTCAGGCACCCTCGTGTTTCTTCATGAGTTTTCAGAGAACTGCGAGTTCAAGATCCAGCCTCAAGCCTCCTCTTACTTTGGGTCTTTTTGCAGCCCAGAAATTTGACCTGCAGAAATCTGAGGACATGCTCCAGAAGGTGAGGCCTCATTCTCAGGAGTGTCCTGCCTCCCACACATTGTACCCCAGGGATCAGTGACAAAGAGTAGGAACGTTGGCCTCTCCTGTTCTCCTGTGTTTCCTCCCTTCCTCCTTGGATCCCTTTCTGCATCAGACCTGGGTCCCCCACAGCCCTCCTCCTGGCATTGCCACCTCCAGTTCTAGGTCAGAAGAGCCTGGGGGTGCTCTGGCAGGGTCTTGGGGGCTGTAGGCAGAGGGATCTGGCCCGATGCCCCCAGGTGCCTTCAAGGTCTTTGTGGTAGGCAGTCTTCAGGTCCTGCCATTTCTCCACAGCAACAGGACCTGGACAACATCCTCTCGTGGCAACCCTCAGAGGTGAGCCCCATGCAGCATCCCCCACAGACCATCCGATGCCTTTCATACCTGCCCCCAAAATCCAGCCATCTGATGGCTGATAGGCTGGTTTGAGTCAGGACCTCATCCCTGTGCCCAGGTGATCCGGCTGTACGACTCCGGTGGTCTGAGCGGCTATGACTATGAAGACTGCCCTGTGTGGTTCGACATCATTGGGACCCTTGAACCCAAGGGTCTTCTCCTGTCACCCTCCAAGCAGGAGCTGATCCGGAAGCGCATCAGGGTCTGTGAGCTGCTTTTGCGGGAGTGTGAGCTGCAGAGTCAGAAGGTACGTGACTGGGTCCAGGATGGGAAGCGCACGGTGGGCCCGATCTGTCTAAAGGGTGGCACCAAGGTGGCGACCAGGTGGGAAAGGCATGCTGTCTCCGCTTCTCGTCAGGCCTCAGCACTCTGGGCTTTAGTGGGACATGGCTTCTCCTGCAGTCACCCATCTCTGAGCATCTAACGTGTGTGTGATACTCTCTGCTGGCGAGGGCCAAGGATCACCAAATCCCTTTCCCCTCTGACCTTGGGTGAGATGTTGACCTTGGGTGCAGTGAACGCTCTGGCTCTGTTCCCCGGGAACCCTGGGAACAGTGGATGGTCAGCTTGCTTATGGAAAAGATGTCCCCAGTTGGACACTGCACAACCATAACCTGATGGGGGAGCCATCGCTGTTGGCTTCCCTGAGAGCAGTGACTTGAAACTTGGCACATCTGTCGTGTGTCCCTAGAAGCTAATATGGAATTGCTACCAAAAAAAATATGGAGTCCTGTGGGGCAAAGGCCTTCCAAGCCAGGAGGGACCCACACCCATCTGTACAGATCTTCTCTTTGCTCTGACTCTGTGTTTCCTTGTCCATACCCTTCAGCATGAATCTATTGCCAAGTGTGGTCTGTTGGTTTTGTGAATCTAAGTGTCTCCATGAGTCTGAGAAGACCTCTGGGGCGGGGGGGCTCTTGTGTCACTTTAGGATGATCTGCCTGATGGCGAGGACAGGGCCTGCATCCCCAGTGTCTGTCACGGTGCTGGACACCAAATAGACCCTTGGCACAGAGATTTGTGGCAAGCATGAGAGACTTGCAAACAGTGCCTGGTCCGAATAGATGTGTGTGTCTCGAACAAGATGACTGATTTTATGGGGTCACAACGGGGTCTTCTACTTCGTGTACATTTCCAATCAGAGCTGGTAGTTGTGGTGATGATGATACCAGTAATAACATCTGCTGACATTTACCAGGGGCTAGCTCGTGTCAGGCACTGGGCTCTTTGGGACTCATCTCACTGAATCCTCCTGGAAATTCTGTCAGAACCTGGAATTACCCCCATCTCACAGAGGGAGAAAATAAGGCTCAGAGCTGTTAAAACCCCACCCAAGGCCGCACAGCCTGCCAGCACTGTAGCTCTGGCTTGACACACCCCCGGACTGCAGACGCTGACTGACGCAGCGTACTCTTGTACAGGGAGATGCCCGGTGGGCAACGAGTGAGGTCTTCAATTCTGCAGTTAACTAAGTCCGGCCAATCATGTTGAGCAAACAGTGTGATAAGGGGTCACTTTGCCGGGGCTCAGATGCAGCATCTTCTTAGACGCTAGGTGGGCTCGATCTGTTTGGAAGGCCCTATGGGCAGTTAGGGGTGGGGGTAGCAGGAAGGTGGGAGCAGTGCGGGGTCTCCCAGGCCCGGACCCCCTGGCTGGAGTTGTGTGACATCTGTCATTGTGCTGTCCCATGTAGCTGGGCCGGATTACTGAGACGGTGTTGATGGTGTTTGACATGGAGGGGCTCAGCCTGAAACACCCGTGGAAGCCAGCTGTCGAAGTCTACCAGCCGGTGAGGTAGGCGGCTGGCTGGGGGGCCAGTAGGGAGCTACCTCCTCCATGGGGAGGAGGATCACCCCCCCGCCAGGGGCCCAGAGCAGCCAGTAAAGCTGGCCCGGAGTCCCCCCACCTCCAAGGAGAAAGATGAACAAGAGTATCACAGGGGATGAAGTGCATCTCATGGGGAAGGTGGGTGGCCAGGGGGTGGCAGGGGCTCTTGTGTCAGCAGCATTAAAGGCCATCAAATCCAGGCATAGAATGTGTTGAAGCATGACCTTGACCAGACTCATCTTGCCACAGTTTTTTGCCATCCTGGAAGCAAATTATCCTGAGATGCTGAAGAATTTGTCATTCGAGGTGGGCCCGTGATGGGGGTGACCGCTTGGGGGAGGAGGAGTGGGGAATGGGGGGACCCGTGGATAAATCACCCAGGGTAGGGCTTCTCAAGCCATCCTTTGTGAAGATCAGGGTTTTTTTGTTTGTTTTTTGTTTTTTTTTTTAGTCAGTCCTTCATAGACCGATACTTTTGGAATATACAAAATCTGCTCTGGGATGTTGCAGCAAATGTCAAATAAGTTATAAGTTTCTAAAAGTGAACTGTTATTTTCTTTACTTTTCTCGGTGTGGAATGGTAACAGATCGTTCATGGACCACACTGGCTGATAGACATGCTTTGAGAGGGAATGGTCCCTGTCTGTGACAGTTGTACAGTGAAGGGAACACCACGTGTGCTCTGGGGTCAAATGATCTGCTTTCCAGTCTAGCTAGCTCTGTGATTGTGAGCAAGTCTACTTAACCTTACTAAGCCTCAGTTTTCCCAGTCTGTAAAATAGGAATGCAGTGACACCTTCCCTATAAGAAAGCCAGGAGGTTAAATGAGACAGTCTGTGGAGGAAGAGCCCACAGAAAGCACCCAGTCAGCGTGAGCAATTCAGGTGGGACATGAGGTCTAATGCAGATGCCCCATTTACTTGCACCCAAGAAAATTCCAACACAGCTTGGGAAAACTGTGAGTGTGGACTAGAAGAGGCACCATAGGGAAATCCACATTACTGACACCCTACAACTAGGTGGGGGGGCAACCATTTATTGAGAGCCAGGAGCTGTGCCAAGTGTTATGCATACATTGTTTAATTTATCTCCGTTTTATAGTTAACAACACTAAGACTCAGAGAGGCTGAGTAACTAGCTGAAGGTCACACAGCAGGAAGTAGCAGAATCTAGATCTGTCTAACTCTTGTCCAGCCCAGGCCCCTGGCCATGACTATACCTCTAAGTCCTCTCTAAGCCAGCTTCCCAAAGGAGTTTCATGTGTTTCAGCCCCCAAGCTGTTCCCCGTGGCCTTTAACTTGGTCAAGTTGTTCATGAGTGAGGAAACGCAAAGGAAGGTAGTGATTCTTGGAGGTGAGTGTCTTGACTTCCTGGCTGGGCCCATCTCTGCCTGGGCAAGTAGAGGTCAACGTGAAAGGCCCCATTTCTCCCTGGCTCGTCCTCTTTACTCAGGCACTGACCTTGGCCTGACTCCCACTGGTCTTTGCACACTCTCACAATGCTTCGGGCCCTAGACCCCAGCCTGGGTGGCCACATAAAGCATTTGGGTGCTTTCAGGAGTAGGCGCTCAAGGGAGTAAGCCAAAGACATATCAGGTTTCCTCCCTGGGCGTGGCCTCTCTGCTCTCTGTTAAACGCCCCCCCCCCCCCCCACCGCCGAAACCTTGCTCCCATAGGCAACTGGAAGCAGGAGCTGCCCAAGTTCATCAGCCCTGACCAGCTGCACGTGGAGTTTAGGGGGACCATGACTGACCCCGATGGCAACCCCAAGTGCCTGACCAAGGTACAGGTTACCCAGAGGAGTAGGAGGGAGGGGTGATGACCATGGTGTAGTGCTTACTCACCAGCCCTCACCCACAGATCAAATACGGGGGCAATGTGCCCAAGAGCTACTACCTGCGCAACCAGGTGAGGATGAATTATGAGCACACGGTGACTGTGGCCCGAGGCTCCTTCATGCAGGTGGAAAACGAAATCCTGTTCCTGGGCTGTGTGCTCCGGTAGGGATGGTGGCCACGCCACCCCTGGGCACAGCCAGGAGGGGCCTGCAGCCCAAGCAGGTGGCATTAATGGGGCCTTGTCTCCTGCAGGTGGCAGTTCGCATCAGAAGGGGCAGACATCGGCTTCGGGGTTTTCCTGAAGACCACCAAGATGAGCGAGAGGCAGCGAGCAGGGGAGATGGTGGAGGTGCTGCCCATCCAGCGCTACAAAGCCCATGTGGTCCCTGAGGACGGGAGCCTCACCTGCCTCAAGGCCGGCGTCTGTAAGAGCTGTAGGATTCCCTGGAGTTGTTTTCCTCCTTATGGCACAGACCCCTCAGGGAGGGTGTGGGGGTCTATGCGAGCTACTAGATCCCGTGGTGGTCAGGGGAATTGGCTTCAGGACGTTAGATCTGGTGAGTGGCCCCTGGGTATGCGTACAACTGCAGAGAGGCATTTTAGAGAGTGGGGTTCACAGCCCGAAGCCACGGACTCAGCTCCTGGGAAGCCCTTACACAGCACTCAACAGGCTGAGGGACAGGTAAGTAAACAGCCATGGGCTACCCTTTAGGGGTCCCTGGCTGCCCAGGTGCATATGCAGTCCTACTGTGGGAATCCCAAAGAGATGATTCTTCCATGTGTTTATCCTTCATTCTCAGGCCACCCAAGCCAGATGCAGTTAGGTCAGTCTTACCAGAAGCAATGTTCCCCAAGAGCAGCACTGACCTTCCGCCTCTGTCAGGAACAGAGCTAGGAGAAGGGGAACCCTGGGTTGAGGAGCATGAGTTTTACTAATGCTTTGGTTAATCCATGTCTAGTTCACCTTTGTGGAGAGGGAGAATTAGAAGGGTGGAGACTGAGAAATCTGGATGATTCATCACATCCCAGAGTTCACTTTGCACCTTGGCATCTAAGGAAATGCCTTCTTTATTTTTTTAAATTTTTTATTGTTATGTTAATCACCATACATTACCTCATTAGTTTTGGATGTAGTGTTCCATGATTCATTGTGCATAACACCCAGTTCTCCACGCAGAATGTGCCCTCTTTAATACCCATCACCAGGCTGACCCATCCCCCACCTCCTCCCCTCTAGAACCCTCAGTTTGTTTTTCAGAGTCCATCGTCTCTCATGGTTCGTCTCCCCCTCCGACTTACTCCCCTTCGTTCTTCCCCTCCTGCTATCTTCTTCTTCTTCTTTTTTTTTCTTAACATATATTGCATTATTTGTTTCAGAGGTACAGATCTATGATTCAACAGTCTTGCACAATTCACAGCGCTCACCGTAGCACATACCCTCCCCAATGTCTATCACCCAGCCACCCCATCCCTCCCACCCCCCACCACTCCAGCAACCCTCAGTTTGTTTCCTGAGATTAAGAATTCCTCATATCAGTGAGGTCATCTGATGCATGTCTTTCTCTGATTGACTTATTTCACTCAGCATAACACCCTCCAGTTCCATCCACGCCGTTGCAAATTAAGGAAATGCCTTCTTTAAAAGGCATGATGGGAAAGTGGCTTATGGAGCTCAGCCCTCTCCTCTGGGGAGAGCAGAGCTCCTCTCTCGGTTGGAGCAGTGGGCACTGGGAGGGCGGGGCAGTGGCTGACCCTCCAGCACCACCCCCAGTCCTGGGCCCATTGCCAAGGGCACCAGGTATGCAGATACGTCAGGTTGGTTTTGAGGGATGACTTCTCCACCCTTGCAGATGTCCTGCGCTTCGACAACACCTATAGCCTGATGCACACCAAGAAGGTCAGCTACACTGTGGAGGTGCTGCTCCCAGACAAGGCCTCCGAGGAGAAGATTCAAGGTTTCGAGGCAAGGAGACCATCCCCAGTGCAGTGAAGACCCTGGCTGCCTCTGTGCCTGGGCTCCTCAAGCCCTTAGCAGTCCCCTCCCTATCCCCTGCCCTCCCAGGTGGGGTGGTGTTTGGAGGAGCCAGCCACCCTGTATCACCATCTCAGCTCCTTGTGGGGCCCACCAGGCACAGGGGCAGAGCAGGAGGGGGACATCCAGTGCATGGCCACACTGAGGATTCAGACAGACACCTGATCCCCTGTTTGCAGAGACTGAGGATGAGCCAGGGTCCACCGAAGAAGTGTCCCGCCCACAGAAGCTTCTGTCACTCCTGACAAAGTCCACCAGTCTCAGGACTCACCCACACCTAGCGATCTGGTCTGGGGGTGTGTGCATGAGCCCCAGGCCATGCAGGGAGCATAGCGTCAAGTCTGAAGAGCAGAGAAGGCCCCATCTCTGCACGTGGGGGCTCAGCAGGGGTGGACAGGGCCAGCTGGAAGTGGCCGGGTGGAAGGATGGGGCCAGTTGGGTGGTAGAACTGAGGGTCTTGGTTCTGGGAGGGCACCAGGGCCCTTTGGACCTGCCCTCCTGCCTTTGGAGGGAAGATCAGAAACGGAGCATGAGGCCCAGCAGGGATGACCATCAGGAGGAGAAGCCACGCTCAGTCACACAGAGCTACATGGGTGAAGACCGAGTCTCTCGGAATTCTCCGCGACCCCAGCCTCCCCTCCCCATCTGCCGTGATCCAGCTGACATTCAGCTTGGGTTCTTTCTGGCTCTGAGTAAGGACCAGGACTGTAGCAGAGCTGGAGTGAAGTGGAACATGCTGGAATAAAGTAGAACAAGTTGGGGTGGAGCTGTCATCCTAGCGTGCTTATCCTAAACTCTGATTTTCTTCTTGGAGAACCGTCGAGCTTTTTCTCCATCTTTGTGTCTCGCTAGAGGGACTGCTAAGGGTTGGCTGCCAACTCCCCACCACCCCACCCCAAATGCGACTCAGTAACTGGCCGGTAATGGCTTCTGTTTCCCAAAGACTGGCTCTCCTGGTGCCCACAGCCCACAGTCAGGACCACCGTCTGCTCTGCTAGATGAGCTGCCCCCAACAGAGCAGACCTGGCCTGCAATGAGCCAGTGCAGCTGCTCAGTGGTCAGAGGTCCCTGTCCTTGGTGCAAAGCATTAGCATCCTGGCCGCCAAGACCTTTACCAGAGGCAGGAAGCCTCAGCAAACACTAATATCCAGGTGCTTTGCAAAGAAGAAGCCGGCTCAGGCCCCTTTCTTGCTCTCAGATTCTGTGATTTCATTTTTTTCCAGTTAATAGCTTTCCTGGTTTCCCATAGCCCGTTTTTCCCCAGGCAAGAAAACAGTGAGGCTTGGGAAGATGGGGGTCTTCAGGTAAGCTATGTGAGGTCCTCGGGGCCTCTGGCCCTCCACCTGTGGCAGGCTGCATCACCCATGGTCCAGCACACAGTCTGAACAGGGGCTCTGCTGCTACAGAAAGCAAACTAATGGGAGGAAACACGACTTGAAAGCCAGTGCATGGAGGCATGGCTGGTCCAACAGTGTTTGAGGAGTTTGGCGAGAAAAAAATGGCCCTGCCCGCACCAAGGAGACAGCCCGGGGCTGCCAGATGAAAATCACCGGACATCCTTGTGTCCAAGGGCTGCTTCTGCCTCCCTGCTGCAACGGGCTCTCCCACCACCCCACTGCACGCCGTGGCCGCCCTCCCCAGACCCAGAGGCACTTGGGCGTTCCAGAGCCATCTTCCTGCTGCACAGGTTAGAGAGGGTGAGGCTGGCTGGGGTTGTAAGGGCCCCAGGTCAGGTTTCCCTGGGCCCACCTGTTGTCATAACCGGGTTGGGGTACGGACGTTCACAATGCCTCACTTCAGCCTTACATCCCCAGCCTAAAAACAAGGCGTTCACGGATTTGAACCCCGATCCTTGCTTTTCCAACACCCACAGCCCATTTCCCACAATCAGCACAGCCTCCTCTGGCTTCCTTGCAAGTAGCAGATTGTCCCCACCATGCACAAGGGTTTAATTTACACAAATATGGGCTGCCCAGGGAGTGGCAAGTAACGGAGGGCTCAGGGGTCACGGGTGCGGGCACCAGTGACCTTGAACCCCAGAGCCGGCAGAGTGCACTGCATGTGAAGCTGTGAGTACAGTGGTCACCTTCAGAAGTGAGGACAGGATCTTTTGTCTGGCAAGGTGGATAGGGGACTTGTCCTCAACAACTCCGTCCCTGACTCAAAGCCAT